TGTCCACCTTACCAAATTTGTTTTGTATTTACATATGTTTTCCAAGTAGACTACCATATCATTTATGAATGTTTTGTTCTTTCCAGTATTTAGAGGTGTTTGTTTGTTTGTTTGAGATTAACTCTTAGTCTCTTGCCCTGGGTAGAGTGCCATGGCATCATAGCAACCTCACAGCAACCTCAAACTCTTGGGCTCAAGTAATCTGCTGCCTCAGCCTTCCCAAGTAGCTGAGATTACAGGCACCTGCCACAGTGTCTGGCTATTTTAGAGATGGGGTCTCTGCTCTTGCTCCGGCTGGTCTCAAACTCCTGAGCTCAAGCAATCTAATTACCTCAGGTTCCTGGAGTGTTAGGATTAGAGGTGTGAGCCACCACGCCTGGAGTTTAAAAAATTAATTTGTTTTTAATTGGCAAGTACAAAATATACATATTCATGGTATATAACTTGATGTATGTATATCTTGTGGAATGGCTAAGTCAGGTTATTTAACATAGGTATTACCTCACATACTTGTCATTCTTTTTATTATCAGGACTCTTAAAATTTATTCTTAGCAATTTTCAAGTATACAACATGTTAACTGTAGTTACCATGATACACGGTTAATATGTTGTATACTTGAAAATTTCTTTTTTGATTCTGGTAGCTCTCTTGAACCTATTCCTCTTAAATGGAATTTTGTGTCCTTTGGTAAATATCTTCCCAAACTCCCCCACACTCTAGCATCTGTAAACCACCATTTTACTCTCTGTTTGAGTTTGACTTTTACTTTTGTATGTGCCACGTATAAGCTAGATCATGCAAACTCTGGATTTTTTTCATTATACTCATTATAATTGTAATGACATATTTATTCGATTGTTTCAGACTTGTCTCCCCACACTGGACTGCAAGTTCCCTGAGGGCAAGGGCCATATTTAAGTTTTCTAACCTGTGTATATCCAGCACTCAGTATAGTGTACAGCACTTAGTACATGTAGTATATACTTAGTACATATTTTGTGAATGAATACGTGGATATTATTTTTTGAATTTTATAATTTGACAAATAACTATATCTGACTATTAATGTTTATTTGAGGTTGAACTTTAGGCTTTTTTTTTTTGAGACAGAGTCTCACTTTGTCACTCTTAGTAGAATGCTGTGGCATCACAGCTTACAGCAATCTCAAACACTTGGGCTCAAGCAATTCTTTTGCCTCAGCCTCCCGAGTAGCTGGGACTACAGACACCTACCACAGTGCCTAGCTATTTTTAGAAATGGGGTCTCGCTCTTGTTCAGGCTAGTCTTTTTTTTTTTTATGGTATAAGGCTTTTAATAAATGTTCATTACATAAATGTCAAAGTAGGTAAAATGCCTTTATAATTCTTGCTGAATTTAGAGAAGTCCTTCAGTTACAGAGTATGTATGTACATGTATGGTAAGAAAGATTTCTAGCTAGCTTTTAATACATCCCTTTAAAAAGAAAGAAATTACCTTAGTTCAGTATTCAACACTGGAGCTTCAAAGGCAAGTATCTGTTTCACTCACTGCTTTTTATTTCCTGGGCCTACAGTAGACCTTGGTACATAGTATTTGATAAATGACTAAACTAATAAATGATATATTAGGGAAACATTATGTAAAAACCCAACTGTAATAGTGAAAATTTAATTGCCATTTGATTCCACGAAGAATAGAACAAATAAAATCTCCTGACAAACTTAAGTTTTAACCTCCTCCTTCTCAACATTCTTTTTTTTTTTTTTTGAGACAGAGCCTCAAGCTGTCCCCCTGGGTAGAGTGCCGTGGCATTACAGCTCACAGCAACCTCCAACTCCTGGGCTCAAGCGAGTCTCCTGCCTCCGCCTCCCAAGTAGCTGGGACCACAGGGCGCCCGCCACAACGCCCGGCTATTTTTGGTTGCAGCCGTCATTGTTGTTTTGGCGGGTCCGGGCTGGGGATTTGAACCCGCCACCTTAGGTGTACGTGGCTGGCGCCTTAGCCGGTTGAGCTATAGGCGCCGAGCCCTTCTCAACATTCTTAAAAGAACCAAGCAAAAATTGCAAAACTAATTGCCTGGTGCATAGGAATTAACGGAATGTCCTGAGCATATACCAGGCTGGCCTGTGACTGGCATCTGGAAATTCAGATTTCCTCGGGAGACTAGCAAAAAGAGCAGCTCCCAGATCTAAACTCCATGAACAAAACAGCTCACACTGAACATCTGCTTCCTGGTTGGCAACATCTCACCCACATTGCCCAAACACACTGCTGGGAACCAAGCAAGCCTCTGAGATCCTCAGGGAGGGCACTAGGACACTTGTGCCTGGTGTCCTGGTTTCTCCCCACATGCTCAGGCAATCCACGCACCTCAGTTTCCCAAGTGCTGGGATTACAGGCGTAAGCCATGACATCTGGCCCTGAACTTTAGGCTTTTATTGGCTAGTATTTTTTTGTGAATTGTCTATGTCTTGTCCATTTTCCTGAGAAGTACTTTTTTTCTTTTTTTTGAGACATTCTTACTATGTTACCCCTTGATAGAGTGCTGTGATGTCACAGCTCACAGCAACCTCAAATTCTTGGGCTTAAGTGATTCTCTTGCGTCAGCCTCCCAAGTAGCTGGGACTACAGGCACCCACCACAATGCCCAGCTACTTTCTTGTTGCAGTTGTCATTGTTGTTTTGCAGGCCCAGACCAGGCTCGAACCCACCAGGCTTGGTGCATGTGGCTGACGCCATAATCACTGTGCTAAGGGCTCTGAGCGGAGAAGTACATCTTTTTGATTCAAATCTCTTCTCTTTCTTTTCTCTGGTAGTATGTACTCCTATCTGGATATGGCATATACAGCCACTTATCATCTTTATTTTCTAACTTGTTCTGTTACATTCACGTGACTTATTGCCCCTTCATGTTTAGTATACAGGAATCTGAGACTAAATCATTGCTGAAATCAGTGTCCTGTCTTAATCACTTTCCTTGATAGTCACTGATTACCTCCCAATCTCTGCGTTGTAGCTTCTGCCCTCTATAATTATGGATATCCCCAGCTTTGTTTGGACTTTCAAAAATCTCCTCTACTTAAATGTAAGTCATCTTAATTTAGTCATTTAGCCTAGGGCAAAAAATTTTTCTTTTTTGAGAGGTATTCTATTCCTAGCTACGAGCCCATTGTTTTGATATCCTACACCCAAGATTGGCAAATATTTTCTCTAACAGGCCACGTAGTCAATATTTGAGGCTTTACAGGCCAAATGGTCTCTGTTATAACTACTCAACTCTGCCTAATAGTGTAAAAGCAGGCGTAGACAATATAAAAATGAGTGAATGTGTAATCAAGGTAATTATTATTGATAATCTTCTTCCAGATCCACATAGAAATGGCCAGGAAAATGTGAAAATAGAGTAATGCTTAACCTTAGAAGCCAGATAGGGAGCCATTCACCAGCCAAAACTTTGAGGGATTTCTGTTGAATGTGGTGCTAGTGATAGTGGATGAAAAGAAGAGTAGCGAATGGCCTGAAAGAATCCTGCTAGTTTGAGTGCTGCTTGCCAACGTGTACACAACATGCATTTTTTGTACCTCACCTCAATGAATTTTCATATCACTCTGGAGAGAAATTGAAATTATCTTCATTTTCAGATGAAATTGCAATCTAAAAGTCACATGGCTTATAAATGACAGGCCAAGTGAAAGCAAGAAGAAAGACCAAAAGGAAAAGTTTAGTAAAAAATATTGATAGTGACATGTCTGGGTGCTAGGATTTTAGGTAATTTGTGTTTTTCTTTGTACATCTCTGACATTTCTCATTTTTTTTAATGTTGGTTATCAACTTAGTGTCTTGAGTGAACATAACTCCCATGATTTTTCACTCCACTTTAGTTCTCTACTGCTGTGGCTATTCACTGAACCCTCACTATATGAATATGCTTCTTGCTGCTTTCTAATCATAACCTGTGCTTCCAGCTTATTATTTAAACTATTCTTCTCATTCATCAATTTTTACTTTATTCGAGCCTCTCTGCACTTTTGACTTCTCTCTACTAAAATCCTGAGATCCTGCTACCTTAACTCAGGCCCCTTTATTTCCTACCAAGTTTAGGCTATCATCCATTAGTTCTTCAGCTTAGTTTTCTACTTTTTCTATTTTCTCAAATATCTGACCTCCTTCTCTTTCCTTTTCTCCGAACTCAGAATACTGAAGCTATCAGATAGTAACACTCTCTACCTTTTGACTCCACATTCACAGAGCCTTTCTGTGTACTCCAACCAATTATTTTCCTTTTCTTCTATTACAGCAGAAGAGCCTTTGTTGCTGCCTTTTTGGGTTCATCATTTTCACCCCATCTCTTCCCTACTGCATTAGGCATTAACTGAGTATGTCTTCAATGACCATTGAATACTTTCATAAATAGGAGAAAATTAGTAATGAAATTCCTTTCTGGTTAAGAGTATGGAATTGAATAATCAAAGTCATGAGAATCTAATTGTTAGAAAGAATGTTGGTTACCCTGGAAAATTACAGTATTCAGTTTCATAAAGATTCCTTCTATTATAAGTATATTTTATATGATGTGAAGTATTACAGTGCCTCTTCTTGAGCAATATTTTATGCACTTGATTTAAATACATTTCCGGGCTCGGCGCCTATAGCTCAGCCGGCTAAGGCGCCAGCCACGTACACCTAAGGTGGCGGGTTCGAATCCCCAGCCCGGACCCGCCAAACAACAATGATGGCTGCAACCGAAAAATAGCCAGGCGTTGTGGTGGGCGCCTGTGGTCCCAGCTACTTGGGAGGCTGAGGCAGGAGACTCGCTTGAGCCCACGAGTTGGAGGTTGCTGTGAGCTGTAATGCCACAGCACTCTGCCCAGGGGGACAGCTTGAGGCTCTGTCTCAAAAAAAAAAAATAAATAAATTAAATACATTTCCGTCTGTAGATGTTTTCTTTTCATAGTGTTTAAGATTTATCTTAGACTTTTTTGGGGGGGCAACTATGACCTTTTTTCTTTTTTCATAGTTGGAAAATACATTCAAATCAGTTATTGCACAAATTGGACCTGGAGGAACTGTCAGTCCAGAACTAAAACATAAGATAAAATTTGTAAGTATGTTTGGTTACTAAGATATAAGTTAAAATAATTGATTATAAATTTAGATATCATTTGTGGTTGAGTTTAACTTTTCAGTAAGTACTTATTAGTTTTATATTTGTATTGATTTTTATATGCTACAAATGAAGTGTCATTCTTTCAAAATCAAAAGAAAACAAAAATACACACTATAAAAAGTTTTAATGTAAAATTATTTAGAAATCAAGTTTTTCCATAAGTACTCTCTTCACTTCCTTATACCTCTCATACTAATAAATAACTCCTGACAAACAGTTCAAGAACTTTCCAATACTAATATTCTATACATGTACATCAGATATTCCCAACAGTGTGTGGTATCCCATTATGTTGATGCACCATGTTTTATTTGTCAAAGGGTGCTCAATATGGCTTTTTTTATAGTACTACAAAATTAGAGAAAAATTAAGCATTCATTGATAAAGGATTCGTTAAATTATCTATCCAGATTGGACAATATCATGTGGCTCATAAGAAAGTTGAAGTATGTCTCTATTAGTTTACATGGATGATATATTGTTGGACTTTAAAAATAGGTTTCATTATATAGCATGTTTAGTATGGTCCTTTCATATAAAATCATGAATAATGGTGGGTATATGCATGCATGAAGAGGTTTCTGAAATGGAGCAACAACTGTCTCTGGGTCACAGTACTTTGAAATAATTTTTACTTTATATTTTTCTGAAGTTTGAATTAGAACTTTTTTTTTATTTTCTCAAAAATATGGAATGCTTTATGAATTTGCATGTCATCCTTGCACAGGGGCCATGCTAATCTTCTCTGTATCGTTCCAATTTTAGTATATGTGCTGCCAAAGCAAGCACTTAAATTAGAACTTTGTATTACAAATATCGGGAAAAATATAGGAAAGCAAAGCTTTTTGTACTTTATTGGGTTAAGTCTACTTCTAGAAATTTATCCTGGTAAATCATTGGACAAATGTACAAAACTCAAGTATGAAAATAATTATTATAATATTTGTGATGAAAAATAGGAAAATAAGAGATCAATAAACTTGGACATATTGACTATTTTGAAAAATTTGTAGCCACTAAAAATGTCAGACTGTACTTACATGAGATGATATATATGGTATGATATTTTAAAACTGGTTATAGAAATACTGACCTTATTTTTATATCAAATATAGGTATCTTTGTGCATATAACAATAAAGCTATTTATGGATATTTTCTTTGCTTAACTGTATTTTACAAGGTTTTCTATACTGTTCATTGCATTTCTTTTCTCAATTAAAATGCTTGAAATTATGCTGTAGAATATTAATTTTATATGACTAAAGTTAAATATGTAAGCTGAGTGTGAAGAGTTGTGGGATTGGCTTGGCACCTGTGGCTCAAGCGGCTAAGGCGCCAGCCACATACACCTAAGGTGGCGGGTTCAAATCCCCAGCCCAGGCCCGCCAAACAACAATGATGGCTGCAACCAAAAAATGGCCAGGCGTTGTGGCGGGCGCCTGTAGTCCCAGCTACTTGGGAGGCGGAGGCAGGAGACTTGCTTGAGCCCAGGAGTTGGAGGTTGCTATGAGCTGTGAGGCCATGGCACTCTACCCAGGGGGATAGCTTGAGGCTCCGTCTCAAAAAAAAAAAAAAAAAAAAAAAAAAAGAGTTGTGGGATTACAGTATATATAATAATTTTTCAACTCTGGAAATACTAGAAATAACTTTTGTTATAATATTTTTTAAAACTGGAAACTGATTTTTTAATATAACTATAGTTCATTCACTAATATTTTTTGCCTTTGTTGCTACTTACATTTATACTTATCTTATTTTGATATTTTGTCACCCAGAATTTGTATTGTGTCTATATTGCATTTTGCTTTCTATTTACTAGGTTGTATCTAAGTTTCCAGAGGGTTTGTTCATTTCTAAACTACTTAGGGAGTTTGAGGTAAGTGGGTTTTTTTCCACCAACGTGAGTTTTGATGGTTTATGTTTCTTGTTTTCTTTGATACAAATTTTGTTACTACTTCCTTTGATCCTCCCGCTCTGTTCTCTTAAACAACTGGTTTTGTAATTTAGGATCTTTTTCTTCATTATGAGAGTTAAGAATATGGTCTTTAACAAATAAATTGATTATGTCTAAGAAGGATTTTTAAAACCTTTTGTGGTATTATTGGAATAAAGTTTAACTTATTTTTAATGTCTGATAATACCAAGTGTCAGTGGGGATGTGGAAAAAGAGAATAATACCTCATACGCTATTTGTGGGACAAAATCTCTTTAGAGAGCATTTTGGCATTATCAAGTAAAGTTGAAGGTGTGTACCCTCTGGGATCTAGCTGTTCCATTTCTGTACATGGACTCTAGAGAAACTGTTAACACATGTACACATGAAGACGTGTTTAACATATGTACATCACAACATAGGAAAAATCAAACAAAAAGGCCACCAGTAGGAGAATGGATGAGCACATTGAGATTGACCATTTAGGTGATGGAATAGCACGTAGTAGTATAAAACAAATGAATTAGATCTCCTATGCAACATGGATCTTTTTTTTTTTAATCAGAATGTTGAGTGAAAAAAATCATGTTGCAGAATGATAATTCAAATAATGCCATTTATCCAATTTTTAAAAAGGTAAGTACTATGTACTATATACATTATGTTAGCTGTGTGTCAGGCTTTATTCAGAAGATCTTTCATGTACTTATTTAATTAATTTTTCACAATAAGTGGAGGCATAAGGAAGTAACTTGCCCAAGGATCTAATGATCAGTAACGTGTAGAGCCAGAGTTAGGATTCTGGGTAGCCTGGCTTCAGAATCCTAACTCTTAACTGCTATGACATGAAAGCTCTAGTATATTTACAGATACAAACAGAGATATTGTGAGATAGTATAGTATAACGGTTAAGGTACATCACCTCTCTGTGCTATTTTATAGATGATAGATATAGACAATGAAAACATTTCAAAAATTGTCCCTGTGACAGATCTAAACTGAAACCTGCCATTTCAAAAAAATGTATTAAAATGATGCAAGACAATGTAAAATTTTTTTTTTTTTTTTGAGACAGAGTCTCACGATGTCACCCTGGTTAGAGTGCCATGGCGTCACAGCTCACAGCAACCTCAAACTCTTTGGCTTCAGTGATTCTTTTGCCTCAGCCTCCCAAGTAGCTGGGACTACAGGTGCCTGCCACAAGACCCGGCTATTTTTTTGTTGCAATTGTCATTGTTGTTTGGCAGGCCCAGGCTGCATTCAAACCTGCCTGGTCCAGTGTATGTGGCTGGC